ACATGCATATTTATCTCTCTTAGAATCAAATTCTTTTATTTATATATGTAATTATAATCTTTTATTTATATATGCATCAATATGTAACGCTTTACAAAAAATAATTTTACGCCAAATATTTTATTTCTCGCATTTCTAATTTTTAATTAATAAACGAATTCGTATATGGTTTTTTTATTATTTAAATTATTTAATTCAGTGATTTATTATTCTCTATCAATTATTTTTGTTGCTTAAATTATTCAATCTAAGGAATCATGTATTAGTCTGCTTTTCTCCACTTACAATAGACTACTTTATGCCGTGAAATATATTCTTTCGATAATTATATTTTAATATTTGCACTATATATCTGTTTTTGATACAAAAATTTCTTGCCCCTTCAAACTGTTAACCATCATTGCAGTTGAGTATATTTGAAAATAATTCTTTAGGATATCAAAAATCTTAAGAATTTCCATGAATGATTGAAAAACGGCACATAATTATAACTTATTTGCTTGAGAAAATAGTGTTACATATACGTCTTATGACCACGATTCTTATTTTTAACAATTCGCATTTGCGTAAAACGACTTTGTCTTACGCAGAAGTCGTGTTTTGCATTTTAACTCTTTTTCATTGCAATGCTCTTATCTCTCTCCTTATCCCTACCTTTTTCTCTTTCTCTTTGTCGCGACAAACTCATCTCTTACAATGTAATTACATAATCATATAATTATGTAATTTATCGCAATCCTTCTCTAAAGAGTATTCTAGTTGCTTCACGCTTAATTATTATTTATGCTTGTAATATTTAATTTTCAACGATGTAAGAAAGATGAACTACTCGAACTCTACAATTCTAACTATCAAAGAGGCAGTGAAACATTAAATAGTCATGCTCGAATAAGCTGTCGATTATCGTAGAATAAAAGCAGTATAATTGATTTTTTATTATTTCACGGTTCAATGCGTACAGCTATTAAATGATAAATGAAATTAAAAGTAAAATTATAAAAAGGGATGTATAATTATCCGTAAATTGTATACGTCAGTTCAGACATTAATTTGAATTGGCAATAACAATAATATTATAAGACATATTTGTTAATAATGTACAATCGCTGAATTGTATAAAATCTGCTAGTTTTCATATATGTGTAATAAGTGTAATTACGAAACATGTCAATTTGTTTTCCATCAAATTATGATTTAATCAATTTTTTTATAAATCAAGAAAATTATTTTTTCATTTTCTTATGAAGAAACATATTAAATAATTATGACGTTACTTGTGGCTAATACTTTAAATTTTATCTAAGCAATTAAATATGTTCTCTATGCACAACACAATGTACACATTTATATTATGCATTTATGATTTATGGCTATAACATTTTATTTGCCGTTGCCGATATTTTCGTCTCACTGTCAATCCGATTAGAAAGTCAATAATGTTGTTTTCTTGTTTCTTTCAATAACATTCAGTGAAAAGATCTATGTAACTTATATATTTGTACCAGATACACACACATACATACAACACAACACATACACACATAGACAATATGCGACTCATCAATGTAAGATATTGAAATAGGAATGTGTGTGTATGTTTTATGTTTTTTTCTTTTCATTCAATTGCATTTGATGCATAGTGCATTATTATTCCTCATAAAACTTTTGATAAAAAATAAAATGTATTATATTTTTTAAATATACCATGTTATTTGATTAGCTTTAATGTACTGTTCTGTAATACTATTTTGCATTTACATTACTTTGAGATTATTATAGCCAAAAAGTACATACAAAAAGATATATAAGTATATTGCAGGAAATCCATAAAAACATTCATTTTAATATCTCGTTAACAATCTATAATAAACCGCAATTATGAGAGTAAAAAATTATTATGAGAGCAAAAATTAAAAAAATGTTGTCGTAGAAAATTGTTTTTATGACAATATCTAGTCACACATAATCTTCGCGATGGTCGCAATCGTATGCAAATTTCGTATGCATAGAAGATCGATTGCTGAGCACGTTATCCTGGTAAATGTAAAAAGAGGTGGCCACGACGACGGTTTCTTAAAGTCGGTAGGCAGTAGTGGCGCTTTCTCAGAGTAGGGGAATCCCCACGCATATAAGACAGGATATGAAGGGGTCCCGTCCTTAGTTTATCATAAAGTATAGTCGTTTAGTCATCGGCGGAACCCTTCGATTCTTGTTCTCCACCTCGCATCGATTCTTCTCTCGATCGTATCGATACCGCGATATATATCGCGATTATGATTACTCTGCGATCTTCGTGCCAAGAAAGTTGCCGGTCTTTGAGCTAAAAGTACGATACACACGCATACATACACGAGTGCCTTTTCGAGTAAGTGTCCCTTGTGAGGGATAATCAATCACACGGCATGATCGCTAAAAATGTGTTCGCATTTTTACAGACGTAATCAGAACAAGAAAGTGAAGAGTGTCGTGCCTCTCGAGAAGAGTACAAGCCAGAATGACCTTCACGAGGGTGGCTTCCGTCCTGCTTCTGGGACTCTACTCGAACGTCTTACTAGTGTCCTGTCAGGATCAGAATGTTACGGAAACCAACGTTACGGAAGCCAACGTTACGGAGCTTAATGAGCCGGATTTCGCCACTCGTAAGATCTGTGTCAAAATTATTTTTCCGTCTATAAATTAGCATCCGCCTTGTCCTTCACAAAGTTGTTAGAAACTGAGACATTGGATTGACATTGATTACTATGCGGCGTGCGAGTTTTTTAGTCATATATATAGGTATTGCAATAATAATATTCATTAGTTATCTGATTTCCAATTATGCCCATATTTTATTTCTCATTGAACAACAACTATGCAATAATTTTTAAAAAAGATAACATTATCAAAGCACGCATTAAAATATTTCAAATGTTCGTCAATTATATATTAAAGCTTATTTGTTTTACCTATTTTGTTCTCTTAATTGATGTATAAAGGAAATTATAATTTCAATATTTGCATTTTTACTGTTATTTATACACATAATATTAACGATTTAATTTATATTTTAATTTATACTTTTAAGTCTTGCATTTTCAAATAGTTGTGGTTTTTAAAATGTTATGTAATTATTTAATAGATGTTATTAGAGATACTAACGATAAAACATCACGTGAAAGTTAACATTCTTTCATGCATTTCCGGAAAAAGTTTGTGTTATTATTCTATTTGTGATAATCTTTGCTAATAATATAATTTGATGATATATTTATTTCTAAATTAAATTACATTTAGCCTGCATTAATTTGAAAAAGAAATCTATATTTTTTTCTTTTTTTTATTGTTATTTATTTCATTTTGAGGAATGCATAAGCACATTGATTACGTGTACAAAAGATAATAGGAAATGATTACATACGAGTGTAATCTCACTTCGCTGTTTCATTCGCATTTTTTACCGAACATCTCGAGCGTATCTGCCTTTCTCTTTCGTCACAGTCCAAAGAAGTACAAACAATGGATGCAGCGTATGATTATGTGACGGAAGCTCGTTGTCTTGATTGCACCTGCATTTTCCGCGATCGCGACTGCTAATTATTTCGAAACTCTTTCGCGACATTTTGACAGTTCGATTAGAGAGATACCTATAATCGAATCTACATTTGATTTTCCCAAATCATTCTCAATTAAATTTTTACTTATGTGCTAAAAATTATGTATGTGTTATTATTCTATAATAATATTATTTTGTATCTATAATAAAAGTCTAAGATTAGAAATAAAATTTTATCTTTTTACAAATGATATTAATCTACTTAAAAAATTTATTACACACATTTGTAAGTAAGATCAATCAGAGCTGTGTTACTTTTAAAATTATAAATCGTACATATTTCAATTTTGTTTTATATGAAATTTTACACGCAATAAATTACTATTCAAACAATAATTTTCATACATTTACTATGCAAGTGAATTACATAAATTTTTGTCGTAATTTTTACATTGTATGCTATAAATATATTTATATATCGCTTTATCACCGTTATCAAGATTTATATTTTGTTACATTTTTCTACAGCAATTTTAAATTAATAATTGTAAGCAATTAGAAAAAGTCTATGTGACAATATTATAAATCTTTAGTTTTAATTTTTTATATAACGAGAATGATTTTGATATTATAATAATAAAATTTTCCATTTACTTATGATAACTATTGCAATATTATATGCAACTCAGAATTTTCTTGTAAATTAAAAATATCGATATACTCGAAAATTAAAAACACGGATGAATTTACTATTAGGACAATCATGCGATGCTGCAAATAAAAATCAATAAAAGCATTTTCATCACCAATTGATAAATTTAAAAGTGTTACACTGAATGATGTCATTTACAAATGTGCGTCAGTAATAAAATCGAGAACATCATGTTAATGTGATAATTCTGTTTTGCATGCAGAAATTTGCACTTGCCACATCACGACGTGCGCTTTTCGTCCAACATTCCTAGAAATAATAGTAGCCGAGACTCGCAAAATAATTGGCGTATACGAATATGACGCAAAGCGACGTGCACGTTGGTTCTCATCGATATAATGTCTCGGAATATGGCGTAACGTTTCTCAACGGCATGGCGAAGGTTATGTCAGAGATTGCGTAATTCTTGGTGTCGAGGATCGGCGGCAATCGTCCGGAGAAAGTACCGGGTT